CAACTGATAGAAGAGAAGGCGCAGTGCTCAGTAAGAGCTCCGCACGCCATCCCGATCTCCATATTCCCAACGTCTACGTCTACTCGGGCATCCAGTACACCACCAATAAGCCCATTCCAATCGGAAGGCTCGGCCTATCCCATTCCCCGTGCACAGCCAAACTCATATCTTTCGGAGGTCCAGGGAGGTGCTCTCTTCCTTTAACTTAATGTGTTCCCCAAGGAGCCACCGCACACTCTCGACGGGATGAAGTCTGGGGATGAAGTCGGTCCCAGATGCAGTGGAGCACCCAATGTTTTCTCTGGCCTCGCTCCCCTAGATACCGTAGCTTAGCATCAGTAAGGCACTAGTTCAGGGTGGGATTTCATATTCACGGCGAAGGTGGTGGTAGAACTTGTGTCACCAACTTTTTCTTCTTGCATGATTTTTGATACCAAGATCGTTGGGGGTGGAGTTTCTTGTGGTTCCTTAAGCCATACCTTTAGGTCATACCACGGATTTTCCAGTTTTTACATGTGTTGCAAATGTACAGTAACTTACCGGTATTTACAAATAAATCCGAGGATCCAGCAAAAGAAGAAAGAATGATGCCAAGATCGTACAGTACAGTAAATTTGGACAGCCTATCTTCCAACAACCGAATCGCAAAACTCCATCCACGTCCAGCCAGTATGATACCCCACTGGCAAGGCCCCAAGAACAGCTGTTCAGAAAATGTGCGGCCCCACCCCACAACTCGTGCGGGTGCCGAACCCCGATAGTACTCGAGTACTTTCGCCTAGCGGGGGCCACCAGATCCCAAGGGACATGGAATCAATTTACTCGATTTGGAACTGGCCTTGTGCCTGCAGTCCAATAACACCCATCGCTTGGTAATGTAGAAGAGACCTCGCAGGAAGCCTTCTTTTGTAATTTCCGCCAAGTGAGGGATATTTGCTGACTTTGTTTTTTCCTCGTATTATTTTTCATTTCTTCCACCCATCCCGTACACACATTTTTTCTGGCCTTCCGGGTAACGTGCACTACGTTGTTGGCCGGCAGGCTTGAGAGGAAGAAAGTAACGTCGTGAGGGATCTGATTAGATCTTCCACATCCCTTCGACTCTCTTTTGACTGATCCATGGCACTTTACGGTACAGTACTAGCGCGGCCGACAGATAAAGTACGGTAGTCACATGGGTCTGGTAGGGAAAGTTTTGTGAGCATTCCCGCTGCACTATGTACCGGCATGTCTTGTCAGACCCACGTGACTGTTTTATCTATCGGCCGCGCCCGTACAGAGTCTACCTACTCCGTACTCAGACTAGCAGATGTTGGGCATAGGGTGGGACTTCCCCTCACAAATAGTCTACCAGTAACCTCAACCCGGCCACACTGGTACGAAAAAAGTACATATATGGTTATCATTCTCTAGAAAACCATTCTCACCATGCTTCGTTTCCGGCCTACCTTTTTCTTCACCGACTACGGTACGCCTCTTGAAGGACTTATGAGATCATCAGATCTTATGTTTCTGGGAGCAGCAAAACCACATAAGTTACCATTCAGGCACCCCCCTCACCTGAACCACTAAATTCGAAGAAGAAAGTCCCAACGGTAAACCTAGTAAAATTTTGCGACTAAAGAGATCAGCAGGCGATTTCTTCATAGAAAATTAGCCGATTAGCATCATTTGAGTGGGGGGTGTCAGGCAGCTTGCGGGTTGGTCCATATTAATCTCACAAGATCTACGCGTTACCAACCTACCGGTACCGGCCATAACACCCATCAATACCGTAGGGTATCGGTTCAGCTTTCAATCTGGTTGCCTGGGCAGACTAGCCAAACCAGGGCGAGAACCCGCCGTGTGAGCACTGCAGAACCGAAGCCCAGAGCTTCCTACAGATCATCAGCCCGCCATCCCTGTCAAGACATGACAAGGAGGAGGAGGACCCTATGACTTTCAACCTAGACCTGGGCCCCTGACCTACAGGTATGGAAGAGCGATGAGAGGGGAAGGAAGCTAGTTGGGAATGTTTTTCTATTGTATCGAAACTTTGGATAAATTTTCGAGTTAGGGTAGATATTATTCTTCCTTCCAGAGAATTCATTTGGAACCATAAGCTTGTTCTCTAATTTATAGTTATGAGCTGATTATGTGGACTTTTCTCCTTTATATATTTTCTTTCAGGAGGGCTGAAGCCTTCCTTTTTTTTTTGGGGGGGGGGTTAGGCCATACTTTGGAGTCCGCCATGGGTTTCCCAATATTATCTAAAAATATATCAACCTGATAAAAAGAACCAAAACAGCTCTATTATACTTTCAACTCTCTGTTCTTATATTCAGAGAAACCCAAGCGACAAGAGCGCCAGTGGCAGCGTGGAAAAAGTAAATGGGCTCCCTATACATGGATAGTGTAACTAGCATAATTTGTAAATTAACACAATCTCACAAATACTTTCCAATCCTACCAAACTTCTCTGACCATCTCATCAGATTTCATATGCAATCTGCTACCAAACCATTCTCTACTCCCTTCAGACACTCGGAATCGAAAACCCTCCAGAATAGCTCCTCTGCACTGGCGCAGAAACCGCCCACCTGCCGGCAAGCCGACGAAGAAGTCCCATTCCTCTCATCAGCAGGGCCAGGCCAGAACAGCAAAAATAAAACAAAAATACAAACGTACCCAAAATTTGGCGGCCCAAGCAACCTCAGCATAAACTACCAGCAATGTAAAAGGAAAACAACTCAAAACTCATTCATCATAACCCCCTCTGGCCAAGAATGACACTATATCCCTTAACTTTAGAGCCACTTTCAGAGTGGCTCCAGATTCCTGTCCATGGTGCGAGTAGGTGAGAAGGATGTATGGTCGCCTCTGTTGACATCATTACCGGAATTCATTCCCACAAGCTAGCCACAAATGAAATTCATTTTGTGAAACCCGTAGCTCCAAGGACAATATCAGAGGATTTGGTTTTTACCACTAGTGTGTTATATGATATATGGTTCAAACAAGGGGAACGAACTCACTCCTCACCTCCTCGCACCTCCTCGCACTATGATCCTTACATACAGTCACACCCCGCTATCCCGGATGGCCAAAATCCGAAGAATCTGTCCGGAACAGCGAGGGATCCGGGACAACGAGTGAGGCTTTGGTGGAAAGAAATCCAAAGCTCACAGAGATTCATACGGGACAGCGAGGTATCGGGATTATCGAGACCCAGGATTGCGGAGTGTGACTGTACATAGATCCAGTGGCGGTAGTAGGCATCAAGACACAAATGGCCTAACTAGTTTTGGTGGTGCCTCCCTCCAAAAAACCCATACCCTGCCCCTGTTGCGCCACCTTGGTTTAGGGCCGCCAATATTTTCCCCCGGGGGTGTGGCAAAGGTCCTAAAGTTGCACTTGTATCATACCCTCATCGCGCCTATTTCATTAATTGGTAATCAAGTACAGTTGAACAGCAAGAAAAATGAAGTCGAGTTTGAAGTTAATTTAGCAAACGAAACCACCAGGATTGTCTAGTTCAACCGTAGAAGGGTTTGAAATCTAGGATTCAATGAACTCTTTCTATCTTCAGAGTGCTCTATCATACTTAAAGGTATTCGGATACAGAATAGTAGTTATTAGCTACTTTGACTTATCCCCTCATCAGCTACCGGGTATGATACATAACATTGCCACGCCCAGGACGGGAAATAAACCCACTCCCCTCCGGCATCGCAAATCAGAGGTTTTCAACAAGCGTGATTTACCGACTTGGTCAAAGTTCTCTACTATAAAACCCTCTCTTAATAAATGAAAGTCCAACCCCAAAGCAATAATAAATACGATAAACAAAAATGAAATCATTTCCCTCAAACCTTAGATCGATAAAACTCAATCTACCCTCGTGACCCAAATTGGCCCCTCTCACAAAAAAAGGAAAATCATCCAATGTGACAAGGAAAATATATTCAATGACTCAAGATCCGGGAGGGGAACTTTTTCACTCTTGCTCCAAACCCACTTTATGATTCTTCTACGGAGATAAATTAGGTTCTATGTTGAAACCCTCTGAAACTTGCCTTCGGCCAGTATCTTCAAACGGGGGGCATTAAGCAATGTACCAAAAGATCTCCGGAGCCGTATGGCAGTGCTTACGGTATGCGGAGGATCCTGTCCTTGACTCCACCACCAATTGGTTTGTGCATTCAGGTACTGTAAGAACTCAAAAATCAGACCATGTGCTAGGACGTTGGACTTACCTCTCCCGGTAAGGTCTGTTTTTTGTTGTTTTTGTTTTTGTTTTTTCTCCTCCCACATTGTCTCCGAAACCGTGTTTTCTGGTGTGAATCCGGCCCCTCTTCCGGAGGGAGGAATTTCAAAGCACATAGCTCATAGCTGGCCCGATTATCCAAGTTCCTACGGCGGCTCACATTCGGTGGATCCTTCCGACCCGGAACTTCCAAAGAGCCAGGAAGTCCCAGGACTCCCGGCAGGATGGTCGATATACCGTATTTAATACATGGACATGGGGTCCTCTGATTCCTTGGCCTCAAGGTAGGGGCCTATTTGGCTACGACCGTTCCGTTCCGCGTTCGCATACAAATATTGTTACCCTTCTATTGCGTAACGGTGATTTTGTATGGGAAAACGGAACGGAGCAGTCGTATCCAAACAGGCCCTAAGCTTCAAGGGGAGTTGTCGGTAGATGTGAGTAACCCTCTTCCCAATAACACCCCACTCCTTACGATGCATCTCTAGTATGATGTGATACTATAATAGAAAACCAGGTCAAGAATTCCCAAGGCACATCCAGTTCTATATATCATACCCACCGATACTATTAAGAGACTTTAGGATAAAGTCTTGGCCAAACCCACGGCTCCCCCCACCGAAAACCACCCGAGTCCACACACGATATCCAAGACCGAAAAATTCACCATGATATTAGACCACACAAAAACCACCGAACCGCGAATCCGGATGCGATCCCAACTCTAAATTGTAGATATCCGTCTGTATCTTACCCCCACCTCCGGATTTATGGTATCATATATGACGCCAATACCACACAAACTCTTCCTGCTTTAGAAAGGCGCGACTAACGTCAATTCCAATCCCTCCTCGCCTCGACTTAACCACCCTCACCAAACCGTGGTAAGGTATAATGTGATACTGTGCGAGTACTGCGCTGGCGTTCTGCTCTGGCGTTCTGCTCTGCGAGGCAAGGTACACGAGACAAGGGAGTCTAACCACATGGAAATGCCGAGATTAGGAGTATGACTGGGTGGATGGGTGGGCGGGGTTATGTGGCAATGGGTTTAGGACCGAAATTCCGGAGTATGATAACAGAGTTTATTATGTTACAGTACGGTAGTTGGGTCTAGAAGGTTTAGGGATATTACCGGTGTGAGTAAAGCTTTATCGCGGGGTAGGGGCACATTATGATAGAAATGCCTCACGGCAGTCACACAACAGGAGCGTTGTGGAAGAGAATATCATACCGCGAAACATATATACGGTACATATACGGTACTCGTGCTACAGCACAAAGCCCTCAAAATAATTTACTATATTATGCAAGACCAGCCAAACAATCCTGACCATCGCAAACCCCCTAAATCCCTATAGCACCGACCAACAAGTCAGAAGAATCGGCCACCTTCTACCTACCCCGCTTCCGAAGGGAAAAGACAACCCCAACCCGTGAAAGCAGGTCTTATTACAGCATCTGCTAGCCGCCATCCATCCATAGGGAAGAAATAATGAGGATAGGATTAGCAAAAGCAATAAAGGCAAAAGAAAACGCAGCCACCGCATGTATCCATGTACTGTACTGTATTCGGAAAAGCACCCAATCGCTATGATGACAAACTGAACTGAACTCCGCCCCATGCTAGATAACAGCCCAATTGGGATAGAGATGAAGATAAGGATACATAGAAACCCCATTTTTCCTGCCCTTGGGAAAAGAGAAAAGAACCTCCATGATAGGCCTCCTGCTGGTAATGAAGTAGGACACCGTTTCTCACGCTTCTTTTTTTTTTTTCCTTCCGGGGGTGGGGGGATGGAAGGAAGTATGCTCTAGTGGCAGGTAATCAGTGAGACAATCATAAGCGACATCAAGAATGGAAAGAGCAACCTCAATGATAACTCGCCCTCCGGCGTCACGATGGACTACTCAAACTATCATAAATCTCCTTTTTCAGTCAGCCACTCATGTCCCGACATAACAATAGACCCCGCGTATCGCTACCGAATTCGATCATTATACCTCGACAACCTCATCAACCTCGCTCAGCGACAACTCTACAACTCCCAATCCCAGCCTTGTTTGCAATTCCACCACCATCTCTGCCTCGCCGCGGTACCGGGCGACAGCGAGAGCATCTTTGCCACTCCTATCCTGAATTTCCATGTCAGGGTTGAATTCCAGCAGCAATCTGAACATGCGTCCGTCGCCGTTCTTAATAGCCCGGTGAATAGGCGTGTCGCCATTATCGACATCGACCGCATCGATCGAGGCGCCGTTTTCCAGTAGCATTCTTGTAATGGTGAGGTCTCTGCGGTCAACGGAGAGGTGAAGCGGGGTTTTGGTCTCGCCGGGGTGGAAGCGATTAGGGTCCGCACCGAAAGATAAGAGTAATCGAACGAGAGTATTCGGCCGTCGGAGCTGCATAGCGCTGTACAATGCCGTCGCGCCAAATAGATTTACTGTGTTCACCTCGACCCCCCGCTCTAACAGCAATTGCGTGATGCCGACGTCGCCGCTCTCGACGGCAAAGTGCAACGCTGTCAACCCGGTCCTACTCTTAGCCTTAATATCCGCCCCCGCATCCAGCAGAATCCGCACGATGGATTCCTGGGTATAGCAGGCCTCGACCGCCGTATGAAGTGCTGTCTCGTGCCGAATATCCCGGGCCTCCAGGTCCGCACCGTGTGATAAGAGCAATTTCACCACCTCCTCCCGATTCCAAGTCACGGCGACTTGCAGCGGCGTCTTCCTATACGGCCCACTCGCGTCGTTCACGGCCAGGCCCCAGGACAACAGTAGGCTAACCAGCGGGATATGACCCTTTTTGGCGGCCCAGCATAGCGCGCTTAGCCCATTTTTAGATTGCAGTGCGTGATGATGCAAGTGTGGGGTTAGGATGATGTGAAGCTTTCTGGAGGTCTCGATCAGATGCTTTAAATCGCGGGGCTGAAGATGGGAGATTATCAGAAGGAGGAGCTCGGTCGGGAGCGTTGGGAGAGACATTGTTTGTTGAGATGGGTGATGGGAGAGGGGGAGTTGTGCTCGGTCAGTCAAAGGTGAGGTTGCGAAAACGTTGTGGTTAGGGGTCAACGCTTGATGGTTGGGGCGCAGTCGCTTGTCTATTGTGCCGGGAAAAAATGAGAGTGAGGAGGCTTAAAATGTCGGCAGGTTTTGCCCGTAAGTTATCCCGTTGCGTTGAAGGCTGACCGACTTGGCAGTGCACACCAAATTTACCCGATAGGCAGCTGGCTGAGCCGTTTCTGATAAAGTGAATCTCACAGAATCATGGATTTTTATTTGATTTTTGTCGCCCGATTTCCCACTCCCTCCCGTTTTATTCCATTTTGCTCGCCGTCCCTTTCTCGGTCCGTCGCTGCAAAAGGAAAACCTTTAGTGGTAAACTTAGAACTAGTCTTAATCCAGTTGAATCGTCGTCGTTGCTTTGGGTGTGGATAGCGTAGATAAGCATCTCGAGTGATCCCGAGTGATGTTTTGTCTCCCTTAACCGCACTATTCTGCTCCTCCTATTGCTTATCGCACATATCCCTCGGACGGACAAACCGTTAAAAAATATTCATGTTTCGCCCCTCTGAAAACAAAAAATTCTCTGCACAGGTTGCTCTGGGACTTGTGTAGTACTGTCACGATTCGAGGATCCGCACAGCATGATAGAAGACCGGACCTCTGCAATCAAACCAGCACTCCGAAAGATAATACATATCATATTGGACGCACCGGGCTAATCCACCCAATGGTCCGTACTCTTAGAGTGCTCCTACATAAACTTCCCAGGTATCAAACCCAGCCTCACATCTTGCCGAGATACAACCCAGTGTGTTCCACAAATGCGCTCCTTCATTTCACCTTGTGCCACTCAGGTCTGTGATACGCATCCAAGCAAACCCCATCACGAAGTCGGCGATAGGTCCTCACCGGCTCAGAGGATGGGAATCAATGTCGTACACACCTCAGCCTGCTCGCCCTAGGGCTTCCCTAAAACCGGCGGTTTCAAACAATCTTGCACTTTTGAAAATAGTTCTGGTCTTCGCCACCACTACGCCAAGCCATAGTTTTTTTTTTTGGGAGACGTGAGGACAAAAGTTTGAACCTTGCATCCAGTGAAAATTTTGAGCCCAGCCCCTCAACCGATGCGTTAGTGCATCTCGTAGTTTCCCATATCATAGGTCCGTTAATATCAACCGAAAGAATAACGGTAGCGCTGCTGAAAGCACACCGCCAATAATGCTAGCGTGAGCCACCACATACCGGCATAGTACTCGAGTACCGGTACTCGAGTAAGCATAACTGTGAGAACTGAGGGCTATCTACTGGGGCTGCATGCTCGGTTGATATATTCTAGCTCTCCCAGTAGCTGTCAAAATTCGAAGGAGCCGTCTAAAGGCCTGCAAATTCTGGGAGGATAAGGGTACGGTCTTTTTATGCCTTATCGATTCTGGAAAGGGCACACGAGGGGGAAATTTGACCTGAATCCTGGGGTCTTGGCAACAAGATGCATGACTAGGGTTGCCTGGAATCCTTGGATTCACCCCCTCTGGAATCGCTACAAAATAACATACCGTACTACCGTAGTTCGACGATATAGAAATTATTATAGCCTTCCAAGCCAGATAAGGCCGACCAGCATCACTGTTCATCACTCACATTCTTGGTGCGAGTACCTGGTACGAGTACAGGCTGCTCCTTACTAAAAGGTGCGCATTGGCACTTGTGTGGGCTGCATGCCTTTAAGCCCCTGGTTCGTACTCATCCTTTCTCGCGCCATACCATAATACCGGTAGCGTATTTTTTTTTTTTTCTTCCTCCCCCTTTAATGATGTAAGCGACTCGCTAACCAGCCAACTCCCCGTCGCCCATCCAAGAAACCGGAATAATTGGATCTCACGCTAGGACACTGGAGTTTGCCGTCTCCTGGTAAGGTTAGTTGTGTTTTACTTTTTGTATGTTTCAGGGGAAGCCTGTGAGCTAAATTTACGGTGCGACCGTGCGAGTACTAGTACACATCGGCAGCTTTTTTTTTTTTCTCTTCCTTTTTTTCGCCCCGATTGCCCCTTTTAATCCGAAGAGGGGAACTTCGGACACTCGTTGCGTGAAGTTTAGTTATTCCGGTTTCTACTTGAACAGGCACGGCAATGTCGGTGCGAAGTCTTGCAGCAACTTTGCCCGGTCCCTGTTTTGGGGCGTGTTCGGGGGATTTGTTGGAACCATGACTCGCTTTCCCTTGGCGTGGTGTGACTGGCGTGGTCCCTGGTTTCGAAGGCTGTGTGGTTCGATACCGGTGTTCTGGTTGCCGCCGAACAGGCCCTTGCTGTGCGTCCTTCTGGGGCCGTGATAATAGGCTGGTGAGATAGTTTTCCTACAGTGTCGGAATTACTTTCAGCGTTAACTCTGTGGCTGCTACCAACACATTTGCTTCTTGGACTTGTTTTTTTTCCCGGGGAATGATGCCGCACGTGAGTGGAGTTCTGAGAATAATGCTATAATTGGCTCATCTGCTCAGGCTCGTTGTCAGAAGCCTAAATTCTTCTCCCCCCCTAACGGGTGCCATCAAGCTGCCATTTGGGATACTGGCAATAGATAAAAGTGTTGGAGAGCCAGGCAGTTACAATCGGTTGAGAAAGCGCCCGAGCATGTAAGACTAGTTGGTGCAGGTCTGCGAACGCGAACAATTGAAATATCAGGACAATTGAGACCTTTGGGAGGATTAACAGTAGCCTAACTGTGCTCTAGCTTGGTGGGCGTCTCCTGTTATACCATGTCCGCGAGAAAAGCCGTGAGGTCTGGCCGGGGGTTACACTCCCGGATTGCGCTAACCTAAAGCGTTGATTACAAGTACCGTACTCGATTACTCGAGTAGATATTAGGAACCAGTACCGGTAGATACAAGTGGTGAGATCTGGGCCGACCATTTTTCGGAGCGAGCCGATGTCTGGTCATGCGGGGTTGCCACTAGCGACAGGCTTCTCACGACTTCTTGGGCGGTAGGCCCTAAACTAACTAATCAAGGCCGTGAGAGAGGGCTCAGAGCGTCAAACCTTTCCCCTCTAACAGACATTGTGGGCTAGTAGTTCTAAAGCCTAATGTTATGCAGACTCTGGACATTCTAGTCCGGTTTTGATTGCCAAAGTGGAGCTATTAGGATAGATGTTTCCCAATGCGAAAAAAAAAAGGTGATATTCCCGGTGCAGTTTTGCTCACAACAAAAAATATTTTTAATACCCCTACCCAAATCTGGCTGTTTGGGAGGTAAATGATCCTTTACTTTTCAAGCGCCGGCTTATCACTAGGCCAGCTCTGGGCGCTTGCCCAGGGTGTGGGTTAAGCCGCGTGAACTTGGGGGGCCCGGGTTGTACGACTTCTGGTTACAAGTACTCGAGTATTTTCTTGTACTAGTGTACTGGTACAGCCACGGACTGAATAAGTCACAGCCTGATGTGTCATAACAACCTAACTTTCATTGTTAATTACAGTACGTGCTGTGAATCGCCTTGGGGCTGGTTAGCGGGCGAGAGGTGGACAGAAGCAGGGCTTTATTCAATTAAATATGTGTTATTAGGGAGAATAGGGTATAAGTGGATATAGGCACGAACTCACAAAGCGCATCTACTACCATACCGGTACTGCACTGCGCTCCAGTACTCCACTCCTGTACGGTATTTTATTCGCAAGGGGTAGGGATGGATCAAGACCTTAAATGTCGACATGGATGAGCAGCTAGGTATAGTACTTTTGTCTGGGGCAGAATATGTGAGAAGGAGACAAGGTTTTCACTGGTTGGGTGGCCGTGTAACACCGTGTAATAATAACCGATTTCTGGATACTTGGTTCCAGGTACTGTACAGTACGGGGGCTACGGAGCTACAGGTGCTACTCTACTTTCAACTAAATTGGTGTTACTCGGTTGGCTAGATTGACAAATGGGGTAGGTTTGTGTTGCGTGTTAGACGGGAGATTTTCTTTCCAACAGGGTAGATACTACCAATGGTGGCTCGGGGGGGGGGGTGACATGTTCCTGAGACTAAATTCCGGATCCGTACGCATGAGTACTTGGAACTGGGGGGGGATAGCTTTGGGTTTTCAGTCACACTTTGGTACCGTGGGTGTCCTTCCCCCGATTTATCTGGTAGTAAGACAGAGGGTAGCCCTGCCCGTGGCTGGAGAAGTGAGTTGGGATAGTTCGTCCAACTGTGCTTCTACCGGTAGTCTGCCTAGAAGGCATACAGTATATATAATGGATGAGATACCCCCGAACAGCAGCCTAATACTACCAACTCGTTCGGTTCTCACTAGTCACTCCTTCCACCATCACATTCGTTTCACGAGCCGTGCTCAGCACCAGCTATTCAGCAGTTCACTCGTTCACAGAGCTGTGCTCACCACAATCGCTACTACTACTACTGCTACTACTACTACTACTACTACTACTACTACTACTACTACAATGACTTCATTCCTATTGAAGGTCCTTCTCTTGGCCATGATCGGCCTCTCAAGCGCAGCAGTATTGCCCAGGGAACCTCTCAGAGCTCGCGCTATAGGGTCTCCTGTCAACACCGCCCTTCCAACCGGGAAATCGACAACCCCCCCTCAGACAGTCGCCTACTTCGGCCAGTTTGGCAAGCTAGGAGTCGATAGTCTGTCGAAATTTTGCTCTAGCACTGAAATAGATATAATCGTCCTGGCGTTCGTAAACGTGTTTAAGGGCGCCGGTGGGCTTCCTGGCATGAACCTTGGTGTCTACTGCGACTCCAAGATCGCGGGAACAGATTTGCTCAATTGCCCCGACATTGGGAAGGAGATTACCGCCTGTCAGGCTGCCGGGAAGAAGGTACTCCTGAGTCTTGGGGGAGAGGACGAAGAGCAGAATTCCTTGCCGGATGATCAATCCGCTACAGAACTCGGAGACAACCTCTGGAAGTTGTTCGGTGAGGGCAAGGGGCTGGAGGCCAAGAGACCCTTTGGTGGGGCTTTGATCGACGGTTTTGATATTGGTAAGTCTCCTTTATGCCCACCTTAACAGGAATACCCAATGGAAGTCTGACTCGTGGTATCCGGCTAGACAACGAAAACAAAGACCCTCTCGGTTATCCAAAACTAATCTCCACACTCCGCGCAAACTTCAAAACCGGCACCAAAAAGTACTACATATCTGCGGCCCCCCAATGCCCTATGCCAGACAAGTCGGTCGGCGAGGCAGTATACAAGGTCGACTACCTCTTTATCCAACACTACAACAACCCTGCCTGCCAACTCGGTGGCTTTGTCAACTCCTTCAAAGCCTGGTCCGCCGATATCGCCGCTCACACCACAGCCGGGACCAAAGTCTTTGCCGGCTTCCCAGGAAGCAGCACGGCAGCCGGACAGGGCTATGCAACTCACGGGGAGATGAAGAAGTACGTCGCGGAGGTGCGCGGTTTGCCGAACTTTGGCGGTGTGATGGTCTGGGATGTAGTACATGCAGCGGGAAATGTAGAATCCGGCAAGAGCTTTTTGCAAGCCATGAGGGAATCCCTCGCATAGGGTTCTTGATGTTTTGTTCGTTTCTTACTTTTCTCCTTCTCATCTCAACTCGGGATTTATACCTCCTGACTTGACTTGACCTGTTATTTCTCTCTCCCATTAATTTCTCACCTTTATTTCTTCTGTTTTTTTTATTCTTCATTCTTTATTCTTTATTTTTTTATTTTGTCATGAGTGGAGGAAGGGACGCATTTTCGTACGAGTATCTTAACTTTGGAGAACCCCGCTAACAATACCTGGCCGGCAATTTCAAGATAGGAATTAAGATGATTTTCCCCCTATTGAGCTCGTAGTGAACGAGTGATCCCCTTGGTAATGTTCCGGAGCGCGCTTGAAATACATTGAGATTTTTTTTTTTTTTGTCCAGACCATAATCCACATCACCATATGATAGCCACAGCACCTCCCCTTCAAAAGTATCACCGTATGTACTTGTATCATGACAGCGGAATCCCCCCTGAGAACCTCAAAAATCCGCATCCCCTCCCATGCTCGCATTGAAATAACAACCTGCACATTGCACTACAGTACCACTACCCACTCACCCACTCGCTTCCCAAAACTACACTTTTATACACCATGTTACTCACTCGTGGTGCTCCACTGCACCTTCCGGGGAGCTGGGGTGGGATAAGGTCTCAGTTTGAAACTTTATGAATTAGGGCTTCGCCCAATCATATGACTACCTTTCAGTTCACGAGATTTCGTCTCCTAGAGGGGTGGAAAATCGGGGTAAGAGGATAGGGTGAGCGAAATTGTGGAGAAAGAGGGAAAAGGAGACGAGAAAAATAAAGGAACTTGGGATGGCTGACTGGATGGGGCGGTGTAGTGTAGTGTAGTGTAGTGTAGTGGTAGTGAAATTATTGAAGAGTGAGGTGTCATGTGACCGTAGGGTTAGTCAGCTTGCTAAAATTTAATTACGAAAATAAACCCTCAGGAGAAAATATGTTTGGCGCCCTTGATTGGTTTGCAATGTTGGGGTAGAGTAGGGTATTTGTACTTGTATCTTCGAGGTCGTGTCGTGCAGGTAGATTTTATGTTCATTCCTACATGGTCTCTTTTCGTTATGATATCGGCAAATAATTGTACCATACTGATTCCATGCTGTACCGTAGGGTAGACATACGGTAGGGCACCCTGCCATAATGGCTGAATTTACCCCTTACCCTGAAGAAAAAGGAAATCAAGTCACTCCCGTCCGGGTGTAGTCACTGTGGGTTGCTTCGATTTTCTCATGGCCGGTAAAAGCAACTGTGACGCGAGAGGGGAGAAATGATATGGATTACTACATATTTTATTTTATTTTATTTTATTACATAACAGTGGGAGAAAGGAGATGTATGTACATTATTTAATAAAACTCTACAAAATCAGCATACCAGACAATGGGATCCGGGAATATATCCTGAGAATTGTGTTCGCAGTCCGCAGTCGCTGGCATCGCAGCCGCCGCCCTCTGATATGGCATACATACTACTCTACCTGTTCGGGATGCATCATCTCTGCTCGTTGCCATTTTCCTGGAGCCATTGAGTATGGATTACATACGGCAGGTATTTATTTAATGGTTGGGAGAGGGTTGAGCATACAAAGAGCCTGCAATTATTTTATGGAGGTTGAAAGCACTCAAGATATTCGGTAGTGGTGTCCTGTTTAAGGTTCCCGTTCGACATCTATCATTCAATTGGAGTAATAAGCTCTCCTCGGGCTTGAATATTATTCACTACTTTCTACCTTCCCCCCTCTCCGCCTTGCGAGCACCAGTACCATAGCGATTTTGCACCGCTTTCGCCTAATCAATACCACTCGGATATTCTTCCTCTCTACCCTAGCAGTACTGGCCTTCTTCTACCCCTCGTTAGTTCTGTCGTAGACCCGGAATGGTTTGAGCCAGGTGAGGAATATTAAACGCTGTTGTGTAGCTAATTTGCTCGTGCTCCGCGTCGCACTTGCTTTTTACCGAGTGTGGGTGTGTGGCGACTTGTGTCATGATGCCACCGGGGCGGTGCTGTACAGCGCTCGGGCACATAATCCTCCTTACGGGAGCCACCGGGGACGGACAGCACAGTACCTCAACCGCCCTTCAAAAAGTACCCATCACGTAAATCCGAGTATAGACTTTACAGGTGAAAGGATTGCAGGACCTGGGCGGGGAACAGAAACGGATATCGTGAAGCGTTTTGGGAGGGGGGGGAGTGACGCGACCTAGAGCAAGACCCTAGGTAACCCGGGGAAACGCTCTATTGGTCTTACTTACCCCAGTTACTGTCTCTAGAGCTGGATACTTATCAAGCAGCAGGACAGCCGAAGGGGAACTAATTACTAGTGTGAGTGACTGATCAGCACCGGCGCATGGAACCGGAACAAGAAAGGCTGAATCCGGCGGTGCTTATCATTGACTATAACCTACCATAGTTCATAGCCTGTCGATGTCCCACCCCGAGAGCATATCCTCCGCCCGGTCACCACTTCACGGGACATTCCTTATAATAAAGGGCATCACTTGGGCCCCAGAACTTTCGCAAGCGGGACCTCCTGTTACGGTGCGCGAGGACTATGATAGTGATGGTGATAGAGTGACTAATCACGAACCATCACTCGTCAGATAGGAACACCCCTCGGTAGGAGATATTGCTTTAATGTGACGGAAGTATGTTCTATGGGGAATATTGGGACTCATGTCGTTGTATAGGGATACCTGCCTATGGGTACAAGTACTGTTATGTGGGATACGGGTATTGAATACGATACAAGAAAAACTTCAATTTCTTGATCTCAGTCTCAGGATTACGTCTCGTTACCTATCCATCCTCTAAGTCCTTGCCTTCACCCTGCTCTATTGGCTCGCGCGCTCATACCGGTAGATGTTATACTAGTAGTAGACAGCAGGTTTGTGCGATCTGTGGTAGTGCACGGTATAGGGTGGCGTGGTGTCGTATCGCGCTCGCATTACACCATATCAGGCTTGGAGGGTAGGGTGTTGTGCTGGGCATCCTAGCATGCTAAGCCTTTATCTACCATAGCCGACATGATATCCAACTGCAATATGATACTCATATTCTTTCTCTTAACTCTAAGTCTAAAAGGTCTAGATATCGTAGTAATTAGCCTTATTCTAGAGCGTGGATAGTAAACCCCGCCCCCCAACATAACAATATTCCATACCGTACATATCCTGGGAAAACAAGCCATACTTCACCCTGACAACTACACTGCCGTGTCGCCGCAACGCCCACAAGCAGTCAACCAACCAATCCTGTATGACCAATCAACTAAATCGCACCAAAACGCCTTGAATAATACCGGTTTCGTGGTAGAAAGACACGTCCAATAAACACCGCTGGAACAAAATTTCGGGAACAAATAGTTGATATCCCTTCTTATCCTTTCCCATTCCCTCCCCTCCTTTCACTCCAAAAATACCAATTCCCCTCCTTCCCCGGGTTGCCTATCTTTCGCAAACACATCCTTCCACTCATCCCAAAGCCTCTGCAGCTCTGCAATGTACCTCTCCTGTAGCTCATCCACTTCTGGATCCCTCGGAGAATCGCTTTGTTGCTTCGGGAATATCGGGTGGCCAACTGTGTCGTCAATATCTATCCACATTATTCACCCCCTAGTAAACCAACGAAACACAGAAGGGGGGGCACATACCGACGGTATTCACCTCCCTTCTATATGGCAGGAAGCCAACATCATAATTAAACACACCCCGGGCGTGAAACAACGGGACGGTGAATCCTGCGGTCTTCTTAACGAGCATTTGTAATTTTTTGATGAGTGAATTGGAGTTGGGTACCATTTGGTCGTATAGGTCGTTCTCGCCGAATGATAAGACTGGCACTACACCTGCGTTTTCGCGAATAGCTATTTTCAAGAAGCCGCGGCGACGCTTGAGGACCAGTCTCATGGTTCCCGGGATCGCTTCGAGACTTTCTCGTGCGCCGCCTACGACAATGGTGATTGCACGGCCGCTAGAGGTGGGTGGCGAGGGCGGAGATTTGGAAAATTTCCTGCCGAGCCATGATTGCTTTGTCTCACCCTCGCCACGGAGGAGCGCTTCGCAGCTGCGACGGGAGACGCTGGCAAGACCGAGTTTCAGCAGGTATTCACGGTAGAATGGGATGCGGAAGTTGGAGTCCAAGGTTAAGAGGGTGTTTTTTATTCCTGGGAAGAGTTTTTCGAAGCCGGTCGTGCCCTCTGTGCAAAAGTGGCCAAAGGCTCCGTGGGATATTATCCCGTGGGGGTGATAGGTGAAGATGTAGTTTCGGCCTGGGGGAAGAGGACTACTGCGGTGGAGGTTTAGTGGGAAGTAGCCCGTTAGGAGACGCCACATAGGAAGTGAGCGGAATAGTGAGGAGCGGATCACGGGGGACGAACCGTCGCGGTGGGAGTTGGAGTATAGCACGTAGATAAGGTAAGGTATTAGTAGTGGCCAGGTCAAGGGTATCGCAAGGAGGAACCAGAAGAGTGAGACGAAGAGTGCGATTGCAAATGTGTGCCAAAGGACGGCGGTTGTCTGGAGACGGCGTTTTAGTGGGATGTTGAGAGGGGCGAAACGGATGCTAGTGATGCGTGTTAGGTATGCTCGGCACGAGATTTGAGACAGAAAAACGAGCCGTCTATTATTCGCATAGTCTCCCGAGACCAATCTTCCTTTCCCCCTCCTAGGGGCTTTGTCGTTGGTTTCGCGCCCGTCCGACGATGTTGAGCTTTCCCCGGTCTTCTGGGGCGACATCGGCTCCCTGCGCTCCTTGTCATCACCATGATAAAGCTTGACACCGCCTCCCTTTCGTCTCCTAGGAGGCGGCTTCGCGATCGCCGAGGTATGAAATTTTGCAGCAACTTCCCCATCCCCACCCATGTCATTAACGCTCCAATCTTCTTCGGACGGAGGAGGCTCAACCGCGGCTGTAGAATATCTGTTCGGTAACTCCTTCTGAGTGGGTGCTGAAGTCAACAAATCAAACCCGTCCTCAGAAGAGCTGCTCGGAATGTCTTCCTCTGTCTGTGGTTGTATTTCTGCCTCCATAGCCCCTCTATTGTCCCCGCTCACGAGACTGTGCTGGTGGAGGAAATCTTCGATATCGAGCTGGATATCAATCGTGACAGGCGATACGGTGGAACAAGCTTTTTGGTGATCGCTAGACGATCGCTGGTGGCTGTTCAGCTTGTCTGGGTTCTGAGGGTGGTGACTGGAATGAAAGGGAGGAACGAGAACTGATTGTACTCGAGGGGGTGAATGTTGGAACGGAGTAAAATGTGGGATTTCTGGTGGTTGTGCTAGCGGGCGATGACGACTCTCACGTGATTACTCTTTGCATGTGAAATCCAATGATCAGCTGATTGATGGATAAAACGATCTGATAAGATGGGATGATTAGATTCAACAGGTACCAACCCCGGATCATAGTCTTGCACAGGCCTCACGGTTCAACCGCAGTGCTGTTGGTATAACTGTCAGGAATCAGCTTGTTATTAACGAAGGATAAGGCCCAGCTAGCCAGAGAATTAACAACAGCTAGAGTGATTGAGGTAACTTATTTTTTCCGTGCTGTCTGTAGGACCAATGGGGATTGGGTGCTCGGAGGAGACGCTGCTGTAAGGATAAAAAGAGGTCATGAAATAAAGCATGGCACTCCCGATAGGATATATAATAGGGAAAAAGAATTACTACTAACCAGGCACGGGGGATAGCCCACATAGCACCGTAGGAGTATCGTACAATGAAATAACCTGAGGATATAATTACTAAGATACTTCGGGAACAAGCAGCGGCACCATGAGAACAGCAGAGCCTAAGAGCTGGAGGAACAGTAAAAAATAGGTAGTATAAACTGGGTTTCGTAGTGCCTCTTTTGTGGCCCTAGTGGAATAATGAGTGATCGGCCGTGCTGTCATACCGATCGGGGCGCATGGTTCCTGAGGGTTAGGTTTCTTTTGACACCTCCACCCGTCCCTCGGCTTGCTTGGCGCGGCGTCATATTCTGGAATCCCAGGGAAGATCTAGGAAGTTTATGATACAGGTACACTCCCCTTTACACATTTTCACTCTGCACCGCAAAATCTCGAATGACCAAACGGTGTGCTGTGTCGTTTGACCTGAACTCTCCCCTGAGATCTACCGTGGCATCTTTCTATCTTTCTGCCCATGAGGGGCCGCCCTACCGGTAGTACCGGCAGTATCATAAGTTACCGGGTAAGATGTTCTCGTGCGAGACAGGGATACCGTAGTCAACCAGGAAAATAATCCCCTGCCTTGCGCGAGGGCATCTTGCCAGGTACGGTAACTGTGCTGTGTTTTCCACCCCTCCTCCGGGTGGGGGAATCTTGGACTGCATAGCACGTGGTTCAAGCGTACCGGTATGGGAGTCTAGCAACTCCGCACTGTCTTATGGAGGAGGCACTTTGGGAAAGCTTATCTCACTCGGCGGGGTAATTATAGAATGCGCTGGGACGTTCAGTGCCAGCCCACTATGGCTGCACTGCACCTCTCCAGACAGTATCAGCAGTTAGCTTCGTTTCGCCCTCGACGCCTCCCAAGTATCTGTTTTGCTCCGGAGTTTATAGTGTGCTCTCGACGCCTTCTTGGAAACATGAGCTCTTGTCCTCGGCATGATGGAGGGGAGTCACCGTGTCATTCTACTGTACTCGTACCGTGAGATTCCGCGTGAAAAAGTGTTGAGTATGATAGAATGGCATGGATATAGTGGCGACGCAAAAAAAAGCAACAACCGGAAGAAGGAACGCAGATACTACTGTAGAAGAAATCCTAATAACAAACACCCCGGTGGAGATGAAGCAGTCGCTAAACGTGATAAAAAATCAGAAGGGGGATCAAACCGCTCTTCGCGGTTTTCCTAGCCATTCCGTTTTAGTAAGATAATGTCTCAGACCAAAGGTAGGCTTGTTTGTATCACTATGGGTACGTGTACTCGAGTACGGAACGAGTATGTTTTTGACACCCAAATTATTCTGGGAAAATTCACTTGGGATTTGTCCAATCGGGTTTACAGTGTTTGACTGCCGGCACTTGGACTTTTTACTTGCCGAGATGTCAGCCAAGCACTGGGCCTATGGTGTTACCACCAGAACGACCCAAAACATGCTACACAATGCGATGTTGGTCCGACACCGGTATTGTACGGTACAGGTATCGTCGGGAGGGGGGTTACCGGGTATGGCGGAACAACCGGTATAGTAGTCCGGGGACGGGGGAACGCCCGGCGGGGCCGAGGTGCTGCTCACAGCGCTACCTGCCGCGAGAACTGGAAGATTCCCCATACCGTCATACGGTACTCGTAAGAGGTACACAATTCGCCGTTCTGGCTAAATAGGGGGAACTAAGCTTGGAATGGACTGGTTTTGAGCGCTCCGCTCAGACGGGTAAAAGGGAAGATACAGCAGGCCTCACTAGGAGAGGCAGCTCCAATGTCCTGGCGTCCGGCTCGATTGTGCCTGTTCCTGCGGTGGTTGGGTCCCGATGGGAACGCCCAGGAATGGGCAGGGGAATTCCGAGTTTCTGGTTGCAGCTTGCGATCCGTCATGCCCGGTGATGAGATTCTTGTGCTACCTTCTGCCTTGAATGCCGGTGCCGGGTGCTACTGGATATGTTTTCGTACAGGTACAGCGCAGGGATCATTTCGCTGGCCACGTTAACCCAGTCTTGTACGAAAAACGTCTCCCCGGATACTTGTACCACTATCGGTTTGCGCAATGATGATCACAGTGCTGGACCATAAGAGGCTTAGTAGGGTAGGTTAACAACAACGAATGCCAGTTCAGGAGGGTCAGCAAGCTCAGCCCCCTCATGCCGTACCCCTTCTGAAAGGCACCGTTGCTTCTTGGGGCTTCTTGGCTCGGGCCGCGGAGATGCAGAGGTGTCGAAGTGGATATGGCAGGGGTTTGCGGTATCTCGCTTGTGAGACGATTCTGTTTACGAATCTCGGCAGATTGCTTCAGTGGATAGATGCTCCCGCCGACGTGAGACCCTCATACCGTCATCTTTCTTCACTGCCGACCCCACGGGAAAGGGTGCACCACTAAGGGTAACAAGGACACCATACTAGTCCTCTTGCCGTCGACGCTTTTGAAAGCCTCAAACTTGAGGTTTTCTCGTTGATACCAGTTGCTTATCTAGGGGAACCATTAGGTAAACTGCCATATTGCGTATGGCCGAGTCCCTTATGGTCCGTTCAAACCATTTCTGATTAGTCTTGGCCTTTCACCCGATTATTCCCCCAGCTCGAGGCTCCAGACTGTGGTCTAGGTTCTGTGCCCAAGCCTTGTTTCCGGGTCCACAGTCATGGTTCTAGGCTCTGGGAGTCGATCATGATACGCTATCTGGGCCCCGATTATCCCCTAGCACTGGGGCTGACAGCGTTGCTCGCCGGCGTAGCGCAAAGCGTAGGTGGCAAGAAATCCCGAAATCCTCCTCATAGAATCATTGGCCAGGTCGCAGCGCCCTTTCCTACAGTAAGTCGAATCAATTAAACCCCCCACCAGGACATTCAAAACCGGCCCTCTTGGACACGGGTATGGAATTGGAGGAAACACTCTTATGGAGTTGGGGGAAGCGTTGTGTACGGCCCAGTATATGGGAATGAGAGAACTGTGCAGCAGATACCTTATCTGACCGGCTCTCTTTTTCTTCTTCTTCGGTCCTAACTCCTATGCGAGACAAGACCGAGGCGCCCTAGCAGGGCGGTCGCGATGGAAAGAAGAAAGGAATAGAGTGGCAAAAGCGGAATCCATATGTACCCCTGGCGCAGTCGGCGCTACAACAGAGATTCCGGCTGGAGCTCTACGGTGCTAAGGTCTGGGCAAGAGTGGGTTGAAGGTCTCGGAGCAATTACAGGGGGGGCAAATTGTTTCCAACTCCCTCGAAGCCTCAAGAGTCCTACGATGGTCTACTATTACTGCCCTCCTAAAAAGTCGGGCTATAGGATCGTTTGGTGAGGTCGCTGTCCTCTTCTGGAACACAGGGCTGCGTTCTCCTCGCATCTGGAAGCATATTGCAACCACCTACAAATGCACCTTGCGCTGCAACCCTGGGAACCCGGGGGGAAATACAAACAAGGAAGAAAGGAAGAATTTGTGATACATTCGGTACTCCTGAAAGGGCAGGAGGAAGGAAGAAAAAAAAAACTTGCAGTGAGTAAAAGCTTATGGCGGAAGCGCCAAATCTTCAGGTCTCGGATGGAGCCTTGCTAGTGTGCTGTACTGCGCTGTGCTCGCTCATTCATTGATATCCAGACATAGAAATAGAGTCAGAAGCAAACAATCCTTGCGGCAGAAAGTCTGCAATATATCATACCTAAAAAAAAAGGAAACAGACTCTAGCGATTGACATGAAATCCTGTAGGGCAACATTACTTACTCAATTCTCCGGGCTTCTGGAAACTCATGGAAGATCTTTTGTGCCGGGTAGCCAAGAGGGGCGGTTCTTATGCAGGGAAGCTGCTGGGGTTAAAATAGACATAGCCTAGGTCTGATTTTTGAGGGCGGGTTGAATGCACTCGATCGTTGCCGAAAGCAGAAGCAGTGTTAGGGTTCGCCAGCATTGGAGATAGCGAGTACTATACGAGTACGATAGAGTACATGAGCCCCGATGTACTTGCCATACTCAACTTGGCCCTGAAGTGCGGGAGACCTCGGATCAATACCCACTTGCATAACTTGGGTCCTGCTCTGGGCTCAGTAGAGACCAAGAACCGGGTCCGGGTTGTTGCTGGGGAGCTGTAAGTGTACTCTACAGTGTCGGGCCACTCCGCTGCTGTTGTCCCTCCCTATTTGAATTTGGTACCACCTCGCGCTCACGGACGTTCCAAGATCCGACGACTGTATGCTAGCAATGCACAGTGCCGATATAATAGTCCTGGAACAGGTGTCACGGCACCGTGGAGACTCTTGGGGCCCAGTCTATAATAGTGGCTCTCCTGCAGGCTCGGAGGGCACTGAGAATGTTTTTCTTTCCCCATGGGGTATTCTGGACGTAAACCGTGATATTGGTAAAATCACAAGCTCTAGGTGAAATAGCCCGCATGTGGTATGTTGAAAAGCGGGCATGTTTTGACAATTGTTTCCAATCAACACCGTATCATACTTGGACCAATAAAACCTCCCGAGATACACAATCACACCTTGAGCAAGACACAAAGCCTTAATGCCCACAGATCCTTTAATAGCACCTCTTATATCACAAGTGGAAGGAAATGCCTGTTTTGACTCGT